ATCGGTGACCGGCCCTCATGGGTGATCGGTATCGGTATCGGGAGGAGAAAACCTGATCGGCACATCTCTACTAATTTACATTTCAAACCCTTTATATAACATGCTATATTTAAATTATATATATATAGCAGATATTTATATAATCTGCTATATTTAGTCAGATTATGATAATTTAAGTTATCAGAAGAAATGACAGTCTGCTTTCTTCAAACAAAGTCCACAATTAATTTCTTTTATTCAATATGCATTTTTTTTAAATCACTCTTGTTAGTGTGTTTTCTTTGAACAGTGCCAGCTAGCACAATCATGAAGGTGCTTAGTCGGGCACAGAAACGATAGTAGTCTCCTTCAAATTAAAAGCTGCTTTTTTCAAACGTTCATTGCTGAACTTCTGCTGCCCACACCATATTTTGTCTTTGACAGCTTTAATAAATAGAAGCTTGTATGAACTATATTTGGAAAGATAATAAAAACAAACTTGGTTGAAACCTGAAGGGAGCTGACCTTTTAACATCCAAGTAAAAACAAAGAAAATGCCACCAGAACTCACAAGAACCCCCACAACGGTTCTTAATGGAAGTTTTAGGTGTTTCTTTCCTCTGGTGTTGTTACAAAGTTCTTCTTTAAATCTCCACTGCTAACATTTAGAACAATTAGAAGTAAGATGTTGACCAGTGTATAATTTAAATTTATGCAGCGTACTTATTTTAATGTTTCAGTTCATCTTGAATTGGATGCATTGAACATTTTGTTCATGAGTAGTTTGCTCATCATTGAAGGTTGCTGTGCTGCTTCCTTTACTGTCAGTACGTTTACTGTTTTCCTGTCCACCTCAGCTTTCTTGTCCTTCTACTGCATTGAAACCAACTTAAGAAAAGACTGGGATCTGTTGACAGGTTCTGTCATTCTCACTGAAAATGCTGGTCAGTCTCTGTATCTTTAAGAAGCTCCCACTCCAACCAACACTGTGTTCAACACGTCATCACAACAACGTTACTCCGTTAATCTGTTTATAACCATTCTTAGGAGTATTGGACTGAGAAGTAGTTTTTATGAAAAACACAACAAAACTTGAAGAAATTATTTGTACCTCCAGAGTTGAATCTCTGTCCAGTTGTGTAAATGTTTCTATGTATCCATCTGTTTCTATCCATTTATCCATCAATTCCTCAGTTTGTCCACAACTCTGTCTGTTCAATCATTTCTCCCTCACTCTGCCACACAGATGTAGATTAGATTTATAGTTATTGTGTACTGAGACAAATGTTGAAAAAAAAATTAGGGAGGTATCCTATATTATTTTTAGGTCCTAATTGTAGTTTTCTGCCTTGATGGTGTTTTCAATAGGCCTTCGTTTCTTTTCTGCACAGATGTGTAACATTCACCTGTAGAAACTGAACTAAAGGTTTTGTTACAGACCAGCCATACTTACACTCCCTCATATCACTCATCCATAACTTATTGGCCCTCTTACCCTTTCACCCCCACGTCACTTCTTTTACTCTCTTGATTTGTAGCACAGAGGAAAAGTTGATCTCCCAAATGCTTTAACTCTATCCCAATAAATGATTCAAAAGTTGTAGTTTTCTACCAAGTGAGGAGCATTCTTTAGTTTTGCAGTGTGCCATTGCTTCTTGTTCTACTGTTTGTGCTCTGTGCAGATGAATCCAAGAAGGATTCTTGGTCCTGGGGTTGTCAGTTGTTTAGCTCATGAGTAAAATACTTGACATGGTGTCTAAGAGAGAAAGTTGTCCACGGAGGCAGGAAGAAAGAATACAAAAAAGTAGACGGCAGTGCAGGCACTTTAGCAGGACCTTGGGTGCAGTACACACACACACACACACACACACACACACACAATAAGTCCTTTGTGCTGTCTCTCCATGGGTGCTGTAGGGTGCGGTATGCCTTGTTAACTATGCCAGCTAGCATGGGGCCTGTCCCCCTAAGCTGGCTACAGAGTCTCTTGGGATGAGATCCGCCACAATGTATTTCTTTCCAACTGTTTCTCTTGCTTTGTGTCTTTTCGTTTTGGCCCCTTTTTTAAAAAAATATTTTGTAAAGTATATCAGACTCATTAAAACTAGATGGATAACATCTCAATTGTCATGCTTAGTCCAGATTTTCAGTTGGATTTAGATTTGGGCTTTGACTGGGCGATGAATAGTTTTTCGTTATTAATCAAATTTTTGCCTTTTGAAGACTTTATTAATTTTTTTTTAACAAATGAACTTGATGTTTTATTTAGGGGTTTCTGGATAAAGAAGGCTGAATATATAGATATTTTGCAGCATTTTGTCTGTTTGACAGCATCATCTGCAGAAAAAAAAATGCAGTGAATGAACAACATATGTCATTATTTACTAAAGAAATAGGCAAAATGGGAGAATTTGCTTTAATTCTCAAGAATTTACACTGATTCTTAATTTGGATGCTTGTATATGTTTAGATGCTGTTATTCTCATCTGAAGGGAATGAGTATAACAGTGATTTAATTTCAAAAGCATCAATTCTAAATCTTCAAAATAACGAGGGTATTTTTTATGCTTCTCTCTGGTGATCCTAAAGTTTGAAAAAAAAAAAACTGCTAAAAATAGTTGAGAAGAAAGTATAGATAAAAGTATATTCAAAGGTAAGGGATATTCTGTGGGAAGAATTCAGAAGTGGTTTGAGTCGGTGCATGTGACTGAGAGCGTTTGAAAAGAGGTTTCCCAGTTCCAGGCTGAACACAGGCTGTAACTGGTACGGGCTGATCAGACAGGCCAACACCTGATTCACAGAATCTCTCCTTGTCTTATGGAGAAGTCCAGCCTTCACCCAGGAAACAGCCTACTGAGACAAAAAAAAAGTTATTTATGTAATTTAATAAAAACAAGAGGAGGGGTTTTGGTTCTTTTGCCATATTTGAGTTTATACTTCTCGTTGACTTAATCCCATTTGACACATAGTTACTAAAATGTTCAGTTTTTTTTTTTGATGTTGTTTTTTTTTGTTTTTCCCCACCAGAAAAAAGCCAAAGGTGAAGAACTGTTTGAGCAGATCATGTACCATTTGGACATTGTAGAGAAAGACTACTTTGGACTGCGCTTCATGGACTCTGCACAGGTTCCGGTAAGAACTGCGATACAGTCTTCATTAGTGGAGCAACTAGGACAAGAAAAACATCAATTCAGGACTGATCTAATGCATATTAACAGTATTATTATTGTTGTATTTCTTGGTCAAACGTTTGATTTCTTTCCAAATTATTCGCTCATCTGTACAAAGGTCTAATCCTCTTCCCTTTCAGTGAAAGGGTTAAAGGGATTGGTTAAGGGAGATTTGTCAGCGCTGGCCGTTACGCTGTCCTGTTACACAAACTGTTTTAAGTCAGTGACCCTGTTCCTTTAACAGAAACTCTGCAAAGCCACTGAATTAGTGGGAGCCAGCAGAGGGAGAGATGAATGCAGGAGAAGGGCGGAGAGCATGTTTAAGTTGAGAGAGTGTGGGAGAGGGAGGATGAGGAATGTGGGGGAGAGGAAACTAGAAAGTACTGCAAGTTCCTCTGTTATCTGTCTTAACCCGTCGTTCTGTCTGCCTCCATTTTTACGAAGCCATGACTCTGTCTCCTTCATTGTTTGTCACTCATCCACCCTGAACATTAGGTCACTTTTCAATTAGTTAATGTGTTTACATTTTTTATTTCTAGTAAAATAGTTGTCACATAGTTATCAGGTCTTATACCAAGTGTAGAAAAGTTAGAATTTCAAATCTTTAATTATTTCTGACACAATTCTTATGGTTTTCAGGTGTTGTTTTAAGAAATATTCAAGAATCTGCTTTCAATCTTCACATATATCTGACTGTAAAAAACAGGGACAGTCCAGATGTAGAAACTAAAGCATCTTCATCAGAACGACAGTTAGAGCTGCACAATATATTAAAAGGCTATTAGTAATTCAATCAGAATGTGCTAAGAAATATTTGTAAAGGACTGCAATAATTGGGAGGCATATTTCAACATGCATATGCACAATTCATGGCAGTAATACATCTGGCTGGTTGAGTTCCACTCTATCTGCCCTGATTTATGTAGATTTTAATGAACTGGATGCTAAAGCTCAGTTAGTGGTTAGGACATCAAGTGCCGTTGTAATCAAAGTTGCATGTTTTCCAATGGAAACAATATGTAAATGTTACTGGTGGTATGATTAAACTGTTACTGACAGCTTTATTTTTCTAGCAGTTTTTGTTTTAACGTTCGAACTGCGGCTACATTTTTCAGACCTCGTGTTGCCTTCCACCACACCATCTCTTTTTGATCTGCATTAGTGAATGAGGATGTTGCTTCCTAAAACATTTTATGACCTTCTTCTTTTTGCATTGTTAAGCGTGTTGACAGTTCCTCAACATGTAGTTGCTGGGGATGGGTTTAGAATCTTTAAAAATGTACATGTATAATTTAAAGCTGTTACACTTTCAATCCATCTCAGCAAACAACCCTAATGAGGTTTAGAAACAAGGATTTGGTGCACAAGTTTGAAAATTTGGATTTTCTCTTATGGACACGTGATAAAATGGATAAAATATGTACATAGAGGTTAAAATGTATACAAAAAACAACTAATATTTGAAAAGCCCTTAACACATTGCCGAAATGCCACACACCTTTTGTACCCGTCAACAAATTTTGGACAAAGTTGTGTTTGGATTTTTGCCAGTTCTTCCTGCTGGAATTGGTAGAGTTCATTTATACTGGTTTGCTTTCTGGAACCAACCAAACTTTTAGCTCTAGTCCTTAAATTTTCATGAGATCTTTGGTCAGATGCCTTCTATAAACATCTTCTCATATAATCTTCTGCATCCATTCCAAAACTCCATATGATGGATCTCTTGGTGCATTGTCCTGTTAAAATTACAAATGAGGAACTACCATAGTTCAAGCTTGTCATTAACTTAACTGACAATGAGCAGACTTAGAAAGAAGCTCTCGGTGCAAAATAGAGAACCTGTTTCGCTGCTATTGGTGCATTGCACAAGTTGGAAGAAAGCTCCAAACTTATTAGTGCACTGTAAATCAACAGCTAGAGGTTTGAAACATGGAAACGACTAACTATTGCAACAACACAGTGATCCCAAATACTATCAACATTGTTTTTAGAGTGTTTCTTAAACAATGGTGTTCCAATAGCCCTGACGATAACATGGTTGGAAATTTGTGAAATTTCAAAGCTGTCTTTTTCAACTAAACCTAGTTGAAAATATTTTTTCTATCGTTTTCTTGTTTGTTTCAGCATTGGCTCGACGTCACCAAAAGTATCAAAAAGCAAGTAAAAAGTAAGTATTATTGTACCATTCACAATGCTAACATAAACAATTATTCCTGTTTTAATCATCAATTGATTTAACAGTTAAACATCACATCATGACTGTCACTAAGCTGATATTGTGGTCCATTTGAACTTAGTTGGTCCACCATACTGCCTTCACATGAGAGTCAAATTCTACTCTTCGGAACCGAACAACCTACATGAAGAACTCACCAGGTAAGTAAAGGGAAGCAGTTAAAAAAACAAATGGCAGATTGATTAATTAGAGTTACAAGGATAATTTGATAGAAAAATTTATTTTACCTATATATTCATATCCAAAAGCATGAACATTTTTCATTTTCATTTTTTTTTGTTCTTTTTTTCTTCATTACTCCATCTTAGTTCATTATTCCTATATGGCAGATTGTACATCTTGATGTTCCCTGATCCTTTGTTCCTCAGTAATGGAATCACTTGTTACACTATTTGTCAAAATATTTTCACCACTCCGATATCATTTGATTCACTGTGTTCAATTTTATAAGTTGTGTAAAATAGTCAGTCACCAGAAACTTAAAATGGCATTCTACAAGGAAAAGTTATTTTAAACCAAAATAGTTAACGAATTATCTATTCTCTTTATGTTAGTAATCTCTGTTCGTCAGACATTATATTAGTCAATAGATTTGCCAGAGATCACAGTGTTCACACATGGAGTTCCTCATCCATCATAAAATATTCTTTGATTCTGTGTTCCCAGCCATCATGTTGGGTAAAATTATTCTAACCTTAATCAGATCTCATGCCTTTGTTTAGGCCATCCATCACCGTGTTTATGTTGTCTGTCTTTCAGATACCTTTTTGTGTTACAATTGAAGCAAGACCTCCTCAGTGGCAAGTATGTGATATATTTATGTATTTATTTACTATTTTAATTTTTTTTTTTTGACAATAATATAGAACAAAATGAGAAGAAAGAAGATTTAAATCACTTTGTTCTACTCTTCATCTCTTAATTGTTCTGGTTGTTTCACTTAGTTGTCCTGATGGTTCACAAGCCAAAAATATAAGCTGTTAAACCGTACAGGTTTTCATAAACGCCTTTTTAAACCTGAAAAAAAAAGACGTTAAACTCTCCTAAGCTTTGTTTATCGGTGATTTTTTTTTTTTCAGTCATGTCTGTTTTACAATGTTATAAGTCAAAATTATTCCTCACTGTTACTGATGAGAGAAACATATTTGACTTTTTGGATTGTGAGTTCCGCAAAGTCCCTTTTGGCCTTGTAATTGTAAAGCAGCAGTGCCATGTAAAATTTACATTTTGGAGCAGAGCTATTTTAGCAATTAGTGCCATTATTAGAGTTTTACAGTAAACCCTCTCCAATATTTGATTTTTAGGCTTGAATGTCCATTTGACACAGCGGTGGAGTTGGCTGCCTTCTCTTTACAGGGTAAGTACAGCTACGTTTTTGTTCTTTATAGTAAACTCTTGATCTTTGTGGTAAAAAAGCAGGACTGCTGTATATTGAATTGTATTCATCATCGCAATACCAGTGTGTGTAAGATCGCAAATGCAAAAGACTGCTTCTCATCACATAAATAATTTTTATGTATAACTGCTTAACAAAGAGAAGTAACAATGCTCAGATGTATTTTTTTCCAGCCTCTGCCAACTAAACAGGCTCAGTCCAGCTGAATAGAACTCACCTAGAGCCAAAAATGTTACCTGACCTGTAGGAAAAAGACAATTCCTAGTAAATATCCACTCTAAGAAAGTTGATGTCATTTTAAAAGAAACATTGTTTTTCTATTTTTTGTTTTTTATAATAAAGAAAAAACATAAAACTTTTCCAGAAAATATGTTTGCAAAAAATAATGTAAGAAAAAAAGGAAAACGTAAGTAGTTTTCAACCTTATGATAAGAAAAAGCAAATCTTTTTTCTTATATTACTGATATAAGAAGCAAATATTTAGTGATTTGCTTGTGGAAATTCAATGCAATTATTCCATGAAAAAAAAAAAAAAACTGTTAATACTTGTATATCTATATTCACAAAATATTAGTCAGTTCTTTATCGTTTTCACATTTTCAGCTAAAATTTGTAAGGGCCATTGAGGAATGTCCAAAGAACCACCTGTGGCTTCAGTCCCCTGCTCTAGTCTTCAAACTTTAGGAAATATTTAATTTTTTGAGAGGCATCTCTTGTTTCTCTTGTCTTAGAACATTTGCATATGAAGTACCTGCTTTCCATTCAAGGCCAACTTCAGTCAGAAGAACTCTTGGAATAGTTTATATTAAAACAAGCACATGTTATTACATATGTAGGAAAACATTCAAATATTCCAATTAAATTTAGTCTTTGTTATAATTATTAATACACAATGTGCTGAAACCTAAAATGTAAAAAAGCTGACTTTGCACTGTTGCACCCTTCTTTGCTGTTAAGTACTTGGTAGTTTCAGTAAAATTTTGTCTCATCAGGGTTCTTACCTGATTATCCAAATAATACAATTTGTACAACAGCGACAATGTTCCTTGAATCCAACCTTTTTTTTTTTTTTTCTTTTTGCGAAATTCCTTTAATAAGAGTAAACCAGCCTTCATTCTTTCGCCTAAAAGAGTGATTTCATAAGCTGTTTAAAAAAAGTCAATCACTGGAGACGTTTATGGAATGGCATTGCGTGCGCAGACTCTTGGATGGACGTGCTTACACATACATAGCTAGTTTTGGGTTAAGTGCCAGCTCATTAGTGTTCAGTCCTCTTCAGAGGCCCCCTAATCCAACACCCTCTCTGCTTTCTCTCTTTCCCTCAGTCAGTCTTTTTTCTACCTTTTTTCTGTTTTTTCCCCTCAGTGTTACTCAGGGCCAAAAGTTTAAATGAGTATATCGGATATGCCTGTCAATTAGTGTGCTTTGTTTTGCTTTGTATCTTCTTAAATCTCAAGTACTTGTCTGCTTTTTTTTTTGTTTGTTTTTTTCAGCTGAATTAGGTGACTGTGACCCACTGGAACATAATCTGGACTTGGTGTCAGAATTTCGGTTCATTCCAGAGCAGACGGAGGATATGGAGCTTGCTATTTACAATACATGGAAGGAGTGCAGGTATTCATTTAACTGACACTGAATTTAGAAGAAAATAGATCTGTAAACAGTTTAGGACAAATATTTCTTTCAGAATTAAATTTCCCTCATTCTGTACTTTTACACTTTGTAAGTTTTTTTTTTTTTTTTCTTTCCATTTCTTTTGTGGCTCATCCAATTTCATGCTTTCTTTTTCAGAGGTCAGACACCTGCACTGGCTGAAATTAACTACCTAAATAAAGCAAAGTGGTTGGAAATGTACGGAGTGGACATGCATATGGTCAAGGTGAATAATATTTGGCTTGATTAAGAATATCTAAGCAATTAATTGTGCAGAAGAAACATTAATAATCATCCATGGTCTGTTTAGGCAAGAGATGGTAATGAGTACAGCCTGGGTTTAACTCCTACTGGAGTTCTGGTGTTTGAAGGTCAAACTAAGATCGGACTCTTCTTCTGGTATGTTTAGTTATCACATAGTGTATATATTCTTTTGTTTTGCTCATTTTTCCTGCAAGTTCTAAATCTGATTTTATATTTTTGTTTTCCCTGTTGTAGGCCCAAGATAACTCGTCTAGATTTCAAGAAGAGCAAACTGACCCTGGTAGTGGTGGAGGACGATGACCAGGTGAACCGAAACTATCACCCAGATGACAGAAATGTACATCTACCTACACATTAGTCAAGTGCCAAACCAACAGTCTCTTATGGTCACACAAGGTGTATTGCAACAATAGGACCTGGGATTTTCCAAGGGGTTTTGCTGACATGGATTTGTGTTCTCGTTTTTTAGGCGAGAGAAGAGGATACAGATAGGATTAAAACCCGCTGTTCTAGCTAAAAGCTTCTGATCATTTAAGATGCCACTTCAAAGGGAGAGAAAGTTTGTAAAACGTACAGATATTAGCCATTTCAAACATATCAAAGCCTGAGTTATCATTTTGAAGAAAAAGAAACCAATTTCATAAATCTTAAAATTTTACCAAATTTCAGGTCCTTCAAATAAATGATGTTCATCTTAATTTAGAGATTATTTTTTTTCCTTTTAAAGGAAGCTTTTTTTCTGTAAATATGTTCTGGAATACATGAGCCGTAAAACGTGTTACAATGTTATGGAGAGAAGAAAATAAAACTACTGTAATAATACTGTAAAACAGAGACAAAGAGTCTGTTTATGTCCGTCCAGGGGGTCTTTGAGTGAGGTTAATAAAGAAACCTGCCCTCTCTGGTATTTCTGGTATGCACAGTCGCCCCCACCTCGTTCTCTGTCACACACACATGCACACATCACACAGAAGTTCAATTTCAGCTTGAAAACCTCCTCCTTTCTGCAGTTAGACTGCTGAGCAAATTAAACTATATTGTCACACTAGTTTGTTCTCAGTTCAGCTATTCACCTTTTATTTAGTGAAATATCGAAGGGTGGCATTCATATTTTTGGTTTTGCTTTCCAAATCAGAATATACAATGCTAAAGTTAACAAAACTTTACATAAAAAGAACTGAAACATTTTCATCAAACTTTGTTGTTTTCCAAGAATGTTGGTAAATTCATAAGTATGTTAATTTTTTACTTGGTAATCAGTTTTTAATCTGGTTGTGTTTCTAAGATGTCTTTACATGGTGAGTCAGCATTCTAACTCTGAAATAAATCTCGTGATTTCTGTCTGAGTGAGGCTGACTCCCAGCTCGTTGTTAGCCCTAAGCCATTGTTCAGCAGGTTCATACCGAAAACAAGTAATGTGCCAGTTATTTCTGCAAAGTAGGGGGAGGACAAAAAAAGGTTTGCCTTAGTTTTAAGTGACATACATGGAAATAAAAGAGTATTAGCTGTGCTTCAGTAAGAGCACAGTAAAATTACTATTATTTCAGAATTAAAATATATTTTCAGTTGATGCAAATATACTAATATTTACCTTAAAGTACTATGATGAATGGTAACATTCTCATCATCTTTAATAAGGTCAAAAATATTACGATTATTTCTTAGTTATACAGTATAGATTTTTTTGTTTGCCATCACTGTTTTCATAAAAATATTCAATATATTGTCAATATCCCATTATATTAAAATACAGTTGAGTATATATCAGTAGCTTACAAATAAAACATAATCTTATACTATATATTTTATACTATGTTTATCTAGTATAGTAAAATAATAAAATGAATGTAGAGATTAGATTATATGGATGGATTGGACTGAAATAATGCATAAATGGAAAGTAGAAGATGTCTGTGAAGTTATAGGCTTAACCTGCTGGAGGACAAACAGACAAGTTTTCCTCAGAGATAAGATGACCTAAGCTACTGGAAAAAAAGGATAGTTTTAAGCCTGGTCTTAAACGTAGACAGAGTGTCTGCCTCACTGACTACAACTGGAGGTGCTTCCCATTCCAGTTTTATAAACTCCAGAAATCACCAGTAATCCTGCATTCTGAGGCTAAACCACTCTGTTAGGAACATATGAAACACTAAGACTCATGCAACCACTGGAGAGAAACTCCAACTGGGAACAGAGATGTCTTCTTTTCATTTTTATTTGAACTTGAACAGCAGCATTTGAATCAAGAAAATTATTTTATTTCTCTGAAAACGTTTTATTTTACCCTAAATCCCTCTTTAGGGTAAAGAGCAGGAGCACACCTTTGTCTTCAGGATGGACCACCCCAAAGCCTGTAAGCATCTGTGGAAGTGTGCAGTGGAGCACCATGCGTTCTTCAGGCTCAGAGGACCGGTACAGAAAAACTCTGCGCGCTCTGGATTCATACGGATGGGGTCCCGCTTCAGATACAGGTAACAAATGCACCAATAATACCAAGGGAAAAAGGCACTGAAGTTTGAATTTTAGCAGTGATGTCGTCACTACTAAAAACTTCAGGTACTTGTGAAAGAAAAATGTCATAGTTTGCTCTCCAGGCCTTTGTGTATCCAGTGAAGAATTTGGAAAGTTAAAAACTCATTTTAAGTGTGCAAAACATTCCATTTTGTATCCATACATACCTAAATTAGTACACCACTGGTACTCGGTGTCAACATACTGCAGAAGTCAGCTTGCTCCCGTCTGTGTGTTTAAAGGGTATCCAGTAAGATAAGCATTGGTGGTGGTGTTGATTTAACACAGGGGTTGCAGGGTTTTGTTGTTAGGAAGAGGTTATCGCCTGGATGGTTACAGAGTTCAGCAGGGGTCATTGCTCTGATAGTTACTGTAGTAAAAGTGAAATTCACTGTATATTTGGGGTTTGTTAGGAATGGTGAAGATAAAAATGAAGTTTTTCTGCTTTATTTTTCTGACCAGTGGAAAGACAGAGTATCAGACAACCAAGGCCAGTAAAACAAGGCGCTCAGCCTCGTTTGAGAGGAGACCCAGTCGGCGATACTCCAGAAGAACCATGCAAAACAGAGGTGATGTAAACTAAGGCTCATCGTTCTGAAATTAACTAACACTGTATTTGAGGATATCATTAACTGAATCTAACTTTGACTTTAATCTACTCTAATTATTCCTTTCTTAGAGTGAATTGTAGAATTGGAAAAACAGTCTTACAGTTCAGCAAATGACGGGAAATTAGCCTATGTGCCACAACATTTTTATGTGGCACACATGCTTGAGTCATATCGAGCAGTTTTTCCCAACCCTGGTCCTCAAGGCATGCCCCCCTGCATGTTTTAGGTATTTCCTTGCTTCAGTCCAGCTGATTTCAATTGATGACTGATTAACAGGTGTTTGCTGAACTGCAATCAGTTGAATTAGGCACATTAAAGCAGGGAAACCTCTAAACCATGTAGGACAGTGTGCCTTGAGGACCAGGGTTGGGAAACACTGATATAGAGCCACAATCTCTTTGATTTAAAATCACATTGCCCATAACATGACATGGGACACTTCTTGGCGGTAGAAAATGAGAGTAAAAGTTTGTAACAACTCACTAGTTTTTCTTACATTGTTCTCAACAACTATGGACAATTTTGCTTTCCCCTGAATGAAATTCTCACAAAATTGTTTTGTGAGAAAAAAAATGTCCAGAGTTGAGAATTCATGTTTCCTTTTTCTGGATCTTTGAATGCTTTGGGGGTGAGGTGGGGAGGGAGGAAATCTTCTACTCTCACAATGAACTGTTTATATTTCACAGGATATTTCAACTCCCAGGAGTAAGTACAAATATCATTTTTTTCTATTATTTGTTTTAGAGAGATTTGTTGTGTCCACTCTGCTGTTATACATTTTCACAAAACAGCATTTTATTGTGACTGTTCTGTTCTTTTAACAGCTGCTTTTTGTTGTGGGCTATAAAATTAAATTGTATGTAGATTCAACAGGCATAGTTCCCTTGTTTTGTTTTTATTACAGCTCTGGCATCAGTTCAGTTGTAAAATAACAAATTGTTCTGCAAATTAGTTTATAACAGATTGTAAATGACCTAGTTAATGCAATATAATATATTTCAGAGTAATTGACTGAAAGTAAAGTCAGCTTTTCTGTTTGTCATTTATTGAAGTCTATTTGTCTCTTTTCTCAGTGTTCTTTCTTCAGGTAATGGTGTGAGCTCCAACAAGGACAAGGTGAGCAACTCAAGTATGATTCTATCAGGAATGTGGAGCAAAATGTTGAATTCCACATGTTAACCCACTGAAAACAAAGTTAACAATCAAAACTGAAATATTTTTATGCGTTTGTCAGAGTAAGTTTTTCTCTTCGAGCTGTTTTCATTTATTTAGATCAAAGGTGTTCAAAGTGTAGTCCTGTTGTTGATAATTTGTTTTTGTTTTTTACTTTACTTTTGAAAGGATTTTTACACAGGGCAAACCATAACAATAACAAGAAGAAAAAGAAAAAAAGAAGAAATTATACCAATAAGAAAAAAAAAGAAAAAATACAAATGGATAAAATAAAATATCACAACTAGGACAATAAACAGCACTCAAAAAAACAGAGAGGTCACCAAGGGAGGGAGACAGCTAAACCATACAAAAAGATAAAACTAAAACTGACGGATAACTGATAAACGGTCACAGAGTATATAAAGTTCTGTGAAGAGTCAGACATGTGGGAATTTCTTTCCAGATTTACCAAGTTCTGCCAAGCTACTCAACACCAGACTCCTATTATCACACCTGATGATGAAATAATGGAGCTCAATTTACTCTCGTGTTCCTATATGTTAGTAGTTGATGTTTTTAAATCATTTTGTGTTAATTTTCTTTTCAGGTTTCTCCAAGCAGAGGCACCTGGTCCGGCATGCCTGTGGTGAGCCCGGTAGCAGCGTCAACCTGTGGGCCAATGGAAATCGAAGCTTTACCCAGAAGTCCCGGTGGAGAAAAACGAGGGTTAGTATCTTCAGAATCCATTGAGTCTTTTACATCAACTTATAATTATTTTACCCGTATAAGAAAATACAACAGACATGGGATTTTTTATAAGTGGCTGTGGCTTGATTCCTCACTAATGATGATGAAAACAAAGTCAGATTAGGAGTGGCTGGGCCAGGCTGGCTGCTCCCTGCTGGGAGCTGATAGAATTGGGCAGATAGCTAGGTGTGTTTTTCATGGTGTAATGCCCTGTGAGTGGCTTAGCATGGCTTATCCGCTGACCCTGTCTTGTTGGGAGCAGTGAAAGGATGGAAGAAGAAAGACCAAATCCAGAGAAAAAATGAATGATTGTGTGACTTTTTAGCTACTTGACCGCACTGTGAAATATTCAAGTTTCAGAAGTGTTGCAAGTGAGCAGAGCATAAGATGCATGTTGTGTCATTGCATAAGGATTTTCACTGGACTTTAGTTGCTTAATGCAGCATTCAGGCTGATCTCTTGTTGAAATTCAAGTGTGTTTGTCAGCAGTGAACATAAAACGAGTTTAAATGTATATATTTTAATATATTACATTTTCATCTAAATATCTGCACTGTTGGACTTTTTAAATCTTGCTATCAAATATAGATGCGCTTAATTTAACAAAGGTTTTGGTGACGAGTGCTTGAAATCCTTGAAAATGCCTCGATTTCAAAAAGGTGTTTTCAAGGTTTGGAAAGTGCTTGATTTCTGTATAAAGTCCTTGTAGGTGCTTGATATTCAAACTGCACAATTTTTGAATAAGTGCAATTTATTGTTTAATTAAAAGCCTAAATTAGGAATTTGTTATTTACAGTTAAAACCAGATATTTAAAAATGACTCTCACACATTTCTTTCTTACTGTCAGAATTTAAATCAGACAAAATTTTCTTTTCCTTTAGCTTGTTTGTGCTGTAGAATGTAGGATACTATTACAAAATATTATTAATAACAGTAATAACTCATAGTGATTTGAAACAGTCTTCATTTCATTTGTTTTTGAATCTCCAAAGTGCGATGCTGGAAAAGTTTGAAAACATACCTTCAAAATGCTTGAATTTTGCTGTGGGGAAAAATTTCCCAACCCTGTAATTAAGGATTTATACACTTGTATGAGTTTGTGATAATAAGAACCCTGTGCAGATGCATTTAAGTAACTTTATTTGTCATAAACCCACATTGTCCCCCTGTGTGTTACAGTATTAACATGTACTGAGGATAAATTGTCCTGGTCTGGCAGCAGGCTGGTAGGTACAACCAAACTCTGAAACTCGGCTCTGGCTTTAACCAATCAGACGCAGCGTTGCAGCGGGCATCCTGATTTTTGGCTTTAGATTAATGTTTTCCTGCAGTTCATGGTGATCTGCTGTTTGCCCACTTTTGAATCAGCATGAAGTGCCAACCTGATTGGTGGAGGAAATTGTGATGATTTGGGAGTCTCTGCTTGGATCATGTTTTCAGTGGCTTGAATCAGGGATGGGATTTGATTTCAGCTTCTTTTTATCTGTTCTGTTTCCAGCTTTGGAGACGGCAGCTTCTTTTCTCTCTCTTTTTTTCCTGGTCATCTGTGCATCCTGTCCGCTTTCTCCAATGCAAACTTCACTAAAACACCTTTCTTGAAAATATTTTAACTATACATCACAGGAACAAAAATCTTAAGAGAAACAAACTAAAATGGTTTCCTTTGACAGACTTGTACACACAAAACCTTACACTTTATACAATTTTATATTACTACTGAATTTAAGAAAGTTCAAAAAGATTCTTACATGGTGCCAAAAATAAAAACACAAGCAGCAAACATGTTGCTGTCTTCACAAGGCAGAGCTGTCGAGGCTTTACAAGCACAGACAGAAGATCTAAAGGTCCCAGTGTGTTCTGTCTAAATAACAGGATGAGCTCAGCATTAAAGTTAAATTAACCAAAAGATACCACAACTAAATCAGTTTAAGTAAGCAGGAGGCTATCAGTGTGACAACGTTAAATTACTAATATAACTCTCTGTTTTGTTTTGTTTTTTCTCTTGCTTGATGTCGCTGTTTTTGTATGCAGTGCCGCAGCCTGCAGCTGCTCTCATAACATGAGCAGCCACTCTTCATGGGATTATAATCCTATTACACTTTATGCTGACACAGACCCTGACACTTCTGCTTATGCTTAATCAGTTGGTAGGTGTGTCCTTTCTTACTTTTCAGATATGTAAATAAATCAAACCTGCTTTAATAAAAACGGAACTTCACTGATTAAAATATCAACCAGATTTAAAGTCACTTTTGTTTCATGAAGCGATCTGTCTTCTTTCTGATTTTGCTCATTCCTGTTAGACTCTCAAAGTTGTATGCTTTTGCATAAATATCTCGGCATACACAAAAAGCTAATTAGCCTGTCCTTTAAAATCAAGACAAATCAGCCTAAGGTCTGATAAGGGTTTAACCAATTCCTCCTCTTAGATTAGTTCTAAAAACAACCCTAAAACATCTAATACTCGCGTAGTAAAATCCCCAAACTAAACGATTTCATAAAGTCTGCTAGTTGAGGGTACTCAGAGTTCACAAAGTTGGCATGTAAACAAAATTATACATCTCTTGGGCACAAATAACAGCCAAATTGATTCAAATTTATCTCTTGGCTTTAAGATATGGATATGAAAATATGAAGTCATTGAACGATTATCGACCAGGATCATTTTAAGCTGAATGATCTCTTCTAAACTCTTAGTGCTGCAGTAAGTAAAACTTCAGATTTTTTGTTTGATTTGAACATATTAAACCCAATCATCCCAGATGTGCAGCATGCTCCCATAAACCATTCACTACAGGAGAGGTTCCTGACCTTTCTTTTCTGTAAAACCTGCCTGTGAAGGAAGAAAACAAAAAATTTCTAATATTCAGAGGATGTTTTAAATGCTGGGAGCAATGAAGAAGAAAATCTGAAGCTGCATGTTTGTCTTGATCCAGCAGGTTCCTTTGCCAAGATACTTCATTTCAATAAAACTGAAAATTGACTGCAAGAGTTTGCACATTTATGCATCACAGAAATTCCACTTTACAGAAATTATCTGATGTATTTCCTAGATGTGTGTGGATACATATAGACATTTTTCTTTTAGGATAAATTAGTATTTTCCAAGAAATGTATGCTTTCACATTGTCTGAATATGATTTCAATGTGACAAATTGCCAAACAAGCGGGATAAACTTAAAAAAAATACCTGAGAGAAAATCGTATTAACTTAAAAATTTACGCAACACACCTATAATTATCTTAACCCCACCCATTGTGATAGTTTCATACCCATGTACTGGAGCGTTTTTATGTTGAATTGAAAAGAAATGATTTCACCAAATACTTTTGAGATTTACAGTCCCATTTTTCCTGCTTCCTGATTTTCCCCGTCACTAACCTAAGAGCACATTCACTTCCTGTTTTTATTTTTATTCCCATCTCCTGTATGTTCCCTTGTCCTTCACCTCTTCTTTCTACATGTTTCATCAGGTCTCCGTCTCCCTCCGTTCATCCTCCCATCCACACATCCATCCATCCTTCCTGCCTCCGTCTCATCAAAGCTCAACTGAGAATCTTCTCACTTTGTGTTCTGATGACTTTGTTACCTACTAAATGATGAGAGGCTCTGAACCAAAGTGACTCTCTTTTCAAAGTTGCTGGTGTTTATGAAGGAACCTCCTGAGTGAGACTGTTTGTCAGACTAATGGGGTAAAACACTGACTTTTTCCAGAGTCCAGCATGAGGTGCTTTTTATGTCCCGTTTCTCGCCACTTTTCTGTTTCCTAACGTGCTTCCTTGACCTTTCCTCCCCACCTAATGAAGAAATTATCATCAGGTATCAGTGTGAGGTGCGGGAATTTCATTTCAGTCTCAGCTCTCGGAGGAAACGAGAATCAGATGGTCCCAACTGTTACAAACTCTCTCTGAGCTACAGTAGTTTGATTTGCTTTTTATTTTAGTCCTGTTTTTTTTTTTTGTCTCAATTTTTAAATTTTTAATCTGTTCTAACATTTCACACATCTGTTTGTTGTAAAAGGGAGTCGGATAAGAGGGCATTAAAGCATGAGCACACTGAAGCCACAGAACAGAACCACATTCCCTCTGTCAGAGGTACATTCCAAAATGTCCCAATCAGGTCCGTATCCTCACTGACAGAAAATGCAGGATTTTTTTTTTTTTATCTCCTGCTTGAAGCCGGCTTCTTGTCTCTGTCTCCAGTGTCGGATCTCTTTTTTTTTTTTGTAGGTGTCGTCTCATCCGACTTGTGCCACAATTGATTAAATATTTATTATGCTGAATCATAAGTAAATCCTACAATTATGCTGTTTGTAATAATATCAATAGTACTTACACTGAAAGGTTTCATGGAAGGAATTCAAATTTATTGTAATGCTTAGTATGGTTAGTCTGGTAGACTGATTATGTGTTGCACAAAGCAAATAATGAAGGTGATTTAACAATATTAGTCATTAAGAACACATTTACATGACTGCAACCAAATTATGTATCTGTCTAAAATGCTTTGAAATAATTTCAAAGAATAAACTAATATATGGAAACAGGTGGTTGTGTAACTTCTTGGAAATAATTATGCTGTTTTTGCAGGATTTGAGCTGATCTAAAGCTCTACAGGTGGTTTTGTTGAACTGAATTTTATTTAAACACATCAGAGTGAAATTTCAGGGAAATAAACGCCGGCCACATTCAGTTTTTCACTGGTGAAATAATTTTTAAAACTATGCATCATTTTACCTCTTCATAATATCCCAGTAAACCACCTTTATTTGTTGTTGTTTTCACAAGAGAAAATGTGAAAATGTACAAGGGCTGGGTGCAAGGCCCTGTTTCACTTCATAACTTACAATGTTTTCCTGGCTGTTTACAGTTTTCTACTTGGATTTTTTGTCTTTGGGAATATTTATCCTTTAATTCCAGTCATCTCTGGGCAGTGGACAGTAATACACATCATAGTTTGAGTTAAGTTTCATCTCCAGGCAACAGAAATATGAGGTAGATACCAGGCCTCTGCTGGAGCTTTTGTAACAAAGTCTGTGTATCAAATGTTTTGCTTCAAGCTCTGATGATTCTGAGAATATTGCTTTGATTTTTTTTTTTTTTTTTGTTCCCCCACAGAAGTTATTGCTTTCCTTGAATGTTTGTGTTCACACAGCAGCTTGGCTTCATTAAATGGTTTTTCAG